GGAACCGAACTCACGACCTTGCGCTTGCCAGGCAGGCGCTTTGCCGCTGAGCTAAATCCCCAGCCCCAAGTGCTCTAGACTTTAAAAGCACATGGCCAACATGCAGGTCACTGTCTGGGAACCTGTAAAGCACACCCTGACCCCTCTCAAAGGTCTTGCACTGGAGTATACGATTGTCATTGGGACCAGAAAAAGAACAAAATAAAAACTACAAAATGCTGAAGACTATTATCATGACTTAACATGCATTGCAGTATGCAAATTTAGGTAAGTGTTTTGTTGTACGGGGAATCGAACTCACAACCTTGCACTTCCCAGGCAGCCGCTGTGCTGCTGAGCTATATCCCTGACCCTTAGATAAGTTTTGCGAGCATTTTGCATGGGGTTATGCCAGAAGCTGAGGAGCCAATGAAGGTTGGTAAATAGTCTATAAAGTATTAATGTAACTCTTAGTGTCAACCTGTTGCCTGTTGCCCACAGAGGACTTGAGCTGGTCTCCAAAAGAATACAAAGAGTAACGTGGGCTACACATGCGGAATTCGAAAAAGTTGCAAAGCCAGTAACTTACACATGGTTAACACACGGCAAATACCTAACACAGTCCTTCTATAAAACAGAATGAAGTTGTAGGAACTCTAGTTATTTTCTCTTCATTCAAAGGCTTGATTTCACCGATGTTTTAGTTACAAATCCTTCGTGTCCACAGACAGTTAAAGGGCCTTATTTGTTAATACCGGGTGCCCTTTTTATGTTTTTTACTCCTCCACTTATGTAATCCACACTTCAGAAAGATTAGGCCTACCACACAGTAGTCTGTCACAAACTGTGACTGATACTTTGGACCGAGGGATACTGGCATCGGACCGGGGAAACAGTTCTTTAAGACCACATTAATTTTTCATAAGTAGTATGGAGTTAGTGTTGGCTTGGGAAGCATCATTTTTTTCATCTAAAAAGGATATGAAAAAATATTTCTTACAAATGTCCATAATAATTTTTCTCCTCAGGAAATCTTTATCCCAAACGGACATTATTTATGTACACATCTGTTTCCATTTGTGAGCCCAGGGCAAGGCTCTTTGAGAAGTAGTCTCTAAATAGAGAGGAGTCCAAAAAAAGTAGTCCTAATATTCCTTAGACCCTTCAGAAAAACGGGACAGATGGCTAAAGTAAGGGGGATATTGCAATAGTTAAGTCCCTCAAATTCTTAATGTTCTTAGATAAAAGACAACCTACTGATGTCTTCCTTTTCTACCTCTAGTACAGCTTTTTAAACCTTAACTTTGTTACTGAAAAACTCACTGGATAACTACAAAAAAAAAAAAAAAAAGAAAGAAAAAAGAAAAGATGACCATTAAGTGTGTCTTATGCTAATAGTATAAAAATAAGATGTGACAATTCCTAGCTCTCTCTGTTTATTGCAAATGCACAAAATTTAGCCAGTCTTTCAAGAATTGATAAAGATGGGGTTAAGTTCTGTGGACTCTAAGCTTTGTCAGGTTCACAGCTGGCTGCCAGAGGAAGCAGAGAAGGTCGGCAAGTCAAGTGTCTAGAGCCTGGAGCTGATAGCTCTCTCGGTCCTCACTGACTTCCACACACTTGAAACAGATGTCCTGCCATTGTGCTAGGAGTCAGACAGCGACAGAGCCATGTGACCCACAGGAAGGCAATGGCCTATCTTTCTCTCACACTGAAGGGTCTAATTTTCAACAGACTCACAAGAGGATCTGTAAAAATTCACTTGTACAGAGCCATAGGTCTACACAGGTTTTAGCAGCAATCACTGTTTGCTGCAGAAATAAAAATTAGTTTAGGTGAGTTAGAAGTCAAGCACTATATTACTGAAAGGTGCGGGTGGAAAACTGCCTTTTCTGGACTGTTCTTGACCCTTCCTATTGGCCTGCAAAACAGAAAGCCCCACATGACTTACGTTCCCCATTGTGAGGAAGCTATGAGTTATGTCTGAACAGTATTAGAAGCAGGCAGGAGTCTGAGCTCGTGGGTTTTTTTTTTTTCTCCATGTTTATGAAAATGATCTTAGGATCCAATATACGACAGTAAAATAAAGTAGGATCGATGTAAAGGCTCTATAAATAGAAACTATAGGGACTAGAAGACAGAAAATACAAATGCATTTATCCACCAAGTCTGTATGCCCTGTGCTTTATCGGTAGGCGGCAGCATTGTCTGGGAGTTGGAGGCTACCTCTGTAGCAATTACCTCTTCCCGTCTGACAGATCCGCTCTGGCCAGTGTCCCTTCCTTTCATCTGCCCTCCCCCTCTCCCCAAGAGTCTCCTGAGGGTCTAAGAGTTAACAAGAGGAATCTTGCTTCCTTCAAAAGATGAGGCTGAATTTTAAAATATCCATGAAGAGCGGGAGCTGGAGGAGCTGGACCCGGAGCTGGAGCTGGGTGCTGAACCTTTGTTTTGGGAGTAAAGTGACAGATGTGACACCTCATAACAATTCCCTGACCTCCCCCCCCCCACCCAGCTCTCTTTTGGAGGCTCTGAAGCAAATTTCTAGCTGTAACTCTTCTTCAAGACCATGTCATCCTCACAAATTCTTGTTAAATTGCCATATTTGGGAATTCTGGCAAATGGGAAATTTTACAGCATACACAGAAATGACAATTTTCACAGTGAGAAAACTATTACAGAAGAGAAAGAGGAAACAGACTGCCTGTGATGAAAACTTCTAGAAATACTTAGAGAGAAAAATATTTTTAAATTTTAGTATTTTTTACTTTTCATTATGCATAGTATGTTTGCTGCCTAGGTGAAGAAGTCTAAATAATTACAAAACTGAAAATGGGGAGAATACTGACACAGAACTATGTATGCGCGACCTAAATTCAGAAATAGTGGAGAAAGGTAGCAGAAATTTAAAAGATCTGCGTCAACTTCGCTAGATTCCATAAACGTCACAATAAAGGCTAGCCTGAGGGTCAGAGGGGCCTACAAGATCTTGCGTTCTTGACACTCCAGCTCCACGAGGATCTGAAGGCAGATAGACATCCCCATGGATAGGCCCCAGCTGATTAGCTTCGTGAAGCAGAGGTCATTTTTGATTAGGAAAAAAGGAAGGGAGGAAATGGGAAGGAGAAAGGGAAGGTAAATGGAAAGAGAGAGGGAAAGGAAGTTTCTGGAATTCAGGGCCTTAGCACGCAACACATGACTGTCCCTGGCACCACCCATGAAAGTCTTATGAAAGCAGAAAAATCTTCCCAGGCAACTTTGTGGAAACCATCGCTGAAATATGCCATCCTCAAGTGACCATAACGAATGAATACATTTCAGGGCAAACAACTCAAGCAAAGAGGCTGCAGAAGAAAGAAAAGAACGCGTATCACCCCACGCATAGCTGGGAGGGAGGGGTACAGATGCGGTCCGTGAAATTAAGTGAGGGTACAGCGTAGACTTTAACGCTAGCAGCTTGTATAGACTGTCCTGGGGATGATCTGGGAGGGTTGTTTTTTAACTGGCAGCTTCTGAGAACAGCTCTCCTGGCCAAAATACACGGGGGAGGGGGACTCCCTTTCTGTGGTCATTTGAATTTGACTAAAATGCCTTCTATTCTGGCCACCAAGCTGGCCTGTGACCGAGATCTCAAAGGCAACAGCACGACAAGCCTGAAAATGTCCCGCTCAGACACACAGCTGGCACTCTCGGTGGGCACAGCCAGCGGTCACGACATTGTTTCATCCAGCATCCCATTTGTATCGGGAAAGCAGCTAAAAGCACAGCAAATACAGAGACGTGTGTCCAGGGCAACCCGTCTGCAACAGTCTTCCTATGGGTCCTTCAGGCAGTCCTGGGCTCCCAAGGCCTGAACGTTCCCCCCTCACCTCCCTGCCAAGCTATGAGACTTAGGCTAGGAGGCCCCATCTTGTGAAAGAAGGTAGAGCCGAACACTCGGTAATGCCAAGTAGAGAGAAGTTTGTATCCTAGGTAAGTGTTCTCAACTTTCACCTAGAAGGCTCCCAGAGCCCCGTTTTCAAATCCACACAGCCCAGGGGCTGGGGATTTAGCTCAGCGGCAAAGCGCCTGCCTGGCAAGCGCAAGGTCATGAGTTCTATTCCTGGTACCGGAAAAAAAACTACAAAAACAAAACAAAATCAAATCTACACAGCCTAAATAGTATTGCAGACCAGGGTAGATAGCATTTTCTTTTTAAAGACAGGGTCTTGCAGTGT